ACTATCAAACAAGAAAAGTAGTGAAAACTGAAGGAATCAAGATGCCCCACAAGAAATATACTACCAAGCATCAAGCTTAACTTGGCTAAAAGAGTGGATGGATTTGAAAAATACTAGAGTTTTAACAATAGAAGGACATGACTTGCAAGCAGGGTGGCATGCATTCCTATGGGACGAAAAACATAAAGACACACAGTTAGGAATGCATTGCTACAGACCTGGGAAAAAATAAAACAAAAACATTATACAAGAATTCCAATGTGGTTATCCCCAACAGAAGCTCTGAAATACCCAAACCTATTGGATATAAATAAGATACAAGGAATTAGTAAATGAACAAGGAAATTTGAAAACAAAACAAAAATTGGAACAAGACATTGGCAGAGAGATTGATTGGTGGACATTTATACAAATTCAATCTAAATATAAAGAGGACAAAAAATTATATGAAATCCAAAAAGAGCTGCAAGAATTGGATAAAATTATACATGGAACAGAAATAAAATTAATTAGCAATTTATACAAATACCTATTGAGATATAAAATGGAATACGAGGTTGTCAAAGACACAATGATTACATGGGCAAAAAATTTCGGATATAATATAGAATTGGAGAAATGGGAAAAAATATGGGAAATAAATATAAAATTGACTATGTCGGCAGCCTTCAAGGAAAACCAGTTGAAGATGTTTCACAGATGGCATCTTCTACCAGCAAAGCTCACCAAGATATTCCAGAACAATTCGCCAACATGCTGGAAATGTAAAAAAGCATATGGAACATATTATCATCTATGGTGGACATGCCCAGTTGCAAAAAAATACTGGTCTACAATAAGAAAATGGATCCAAGAAATAATAGACCAACCCATAGACTGGAAACCAGAGATCTTTTTGTTGGATATTTTAAATAGAAAATATAGTAAAGAAATATGGTACTTAATTTTACATATAATAATGGTGGCAAGAATAGCATATGTATAGTGCTGGAAAAATGAGAATATACCACCAGAGGAAGAAGTGATAAGAAAAATACTGGACTGTGCTGAGATGGACAAATTAACAAAAGAGATAAAAGAAAAGGAAGACACAGAGTATTATATAGTATGGAACAAGTTGTATGTCTGGTTGGAGACTAGAATTAATAGAGGAGAATAAATATAGAAAGGTCAAAAGTGAAAATATGTGTATAATAATGTATAATAATAATAATATGAATTATTCTTAGTAAGAAGTAGAACATGAAGGAAGAAAAATGTAAATAAGAAATAATGGGGCTATAAGGACAAATATTCTAAAGAAGAATAAGGGGGAAATGTAAATATTAGATTACCGTTATGTAATTGCTGTAAAAAAAGGAGGAGTATATATATATTTATTGTGTGTATGTGTGTTATGTTTTGTTTTGTCTTGTTGGTTATATATATATATATATATATATGTAGGTCTTTGGTTGTTCGGGTTTTCTCCCGCGTAAAATTGGAAGTGTCTTGGCGACGTTTCGACGAAGTCCCATTCGTCATCTTCAGGCTGGTGTTTTCAGCTTCGTGCTTCGTGCATTGCTGCTCGAAGCACGAAGCTGAAAACACCAGCCTGAAGATGACGAATGGGACTTCGTCGAAACGTCGCCAAGACACTTCCAATTTTACGCGGGAGAAAACCCGAACAACCAAAGACCTACATACAAACACCCGTGAAAACCTCAGAAAACAAATATCTATCTATCTATCTATCTATCTATCTATCTATCTATCTATCTATCTATCTATCTATCTATATAAATAAAAAGATGCCCCACGAAAATAACATTAAGAGTCTAGATGAGGAAGATTACTACAAATACTTGGGTATCCTTCAAGCTGACAACATCAAGCACACTGAATTCAAGAAAAAGATTAGAGGTGAATACATCAAGAGAGCGAAGAAGAAAGTCCAAACTCAATGGAGGAAATACCATAAAGGCAATCAACACCTGGGCAATTCCAGTCATTAGGTACATAGCTGGAATAATGGACTGGACTCAAGCAGAACTAAAAGCAATGGATAGGAAGACCAGAAAAATAATGACAATGAATCATGCCCTTCATCCACGCAGTGACATTGACAGACTTTATCTACCAAGGCAAATAGGTGGGTGTGGAATGCTACAAGTACATCAGATGGTTGAAGAAGAAAAAATGGCTTTGGAAGAATATCTGAAGAACAATGATGAAGATGCACTGAAATTAGTATATCAGGAAGGCTTACTGACTACTGGAGAGACCAAACTGACCTACAAGAAAGACCAAATGAAGAACAGAATAGAGGCATGGGAAGACAAAGCACTACATGGCCAATACATGAAAAAAATAGCTGGGAAAGCAGATAATAACAAACCTGGCAATGGCTAAGAGCAGGAAAATTGAAGAAAGAGACCGAGGGACTAATTCTGGCTGCACAAGACCAAGCTTTAAGGACAAATGCATATAAAGTCAAAATTGAGAAGACAGCAACAGACAGTAAGTGCCACCTATGCAAAGAAGCTGAAGAAACAGTGGACCACTGCACAGACTGACTACAAGCAGCGGCATGACAAAGTAGCAACAATGATGCATTGGAAGATTTGCAAAAAATATCATTTGCCTGTAAGCAAAAATTGGTGGGATCATAAAATAGAGAAAGTCATAGAAAATGATAAAATTAAACTGCTCTGGGACTTCAGAATTCAAACAGACACTCCAGACTTAACAACTATCGATAAGAAAGACAAAAAAGTCTGGATAGTGGATGTGGCAGTGCCTGGAGACAGCAGAATAGACGAGAAAGAACTGGAGAAGATAACAAAATACAAAGACCTACAAATAGAAATAGAAAGACTGTGGCAAAAACAAGCAAGGGTAGTACCAATAGTAATAGGCTCCTTGGGTGCAATCCCAAAACAACTGGAGCACCACTTGAACACCATTAGCATTGACAAATTAGCTATTAGTCAGTTGCAAAAGGCGGCCTTATTAGGAACTGCTTCCATCCTGCGACGATACCTGTAATACCATCAAACATCCACATCTGCCTATCCCAGGTCCTGGGTAAGGACTCGATAGGTAGACAAAATGCCAAATCCAGTCTGAACATCTGGCTGACTGTACGATGATTAATAATAATAGTAAAGTTGGACGGGCCCTTGGAGGTCATCTAGTCCAGTGCTCAGGCAGGAAACTCTATACCATTTCAGATAAATGGCTGTCCAGTCTCTTCTTAAAAACCTCCAGTATTGGAGCATTCACCGCTTCTGGAGGCAGGTTGTTCCACTGGTTAATTGTTCTAACTGTCAGGAAGTTTCTCCTTAGTTCTAGGTTGCTTCTCTCCTTGCTTCTTGTCCTGCCTTCAGGTGCTTTGGAGAATAGCTTGATTCCCTCTTCTTTGTGGCAGCCCCTGAGATATTGGAACACTGCTATCATGTCCCCCTCGTCCTTCTCTTCATTAAACTAGAATACCCAATTCCAGCAACCGTTCCTTATATGTTTTAGCCTCCAGTCCCCTAATCATCTTTCTTGCTCTTCTCTGTACTCTTTCTAGAGTCTCAACATCTTTTTTACATCGTGGTGACCAAAACTGGATGCAGTATTCCAAGTGTGGCCTTACCAAGGCATTGTAAAGTGGTATTACTACTTCACGTGATCTTGATTCTATCCCTCTGTTAATGCAGCCCAGTACTGTGTTGGCCTTTTTGGCAGCTGCAGCCCACTGCTGGCTCATATTTAGGTGATTGTCTACTAGGACTCCAAGGTCCCTCTCACAGTTACTACTATTGAGCAAGGTATCCCCTATACTATACCTGTGCATTTGGGTTTTTTTGCCTAAATATAGAATTATTGAATTTCATTTTGTTAGATAGCGCCCAGTGTTCAAGTCTGTCCAGATCTTCCTGTATCCTAAGCCTGTCTTCTGGAGTGTTGGCTATTCCTGCCAGCTTGGTGTCGTCTGCAAATTTGATGAGTTCCCCATCTATCCCCTCATCCAAATCGTTGATGAAGATGTTGAAGAGCACTGGGCCCAGAACAGAGCCCTGGGGCACCCCACTACACACTTCTCTCCATGTAGATGTGGTTCCATTGAGGACCGCTCGCTGAGTACGGCCGGTCAGCCAGCTATGGATCCATCTGGTGGTGGTGCTTTCTACCCCACATTTTTCTATCTTGTCAAGTAGTAGTTGTGATCTACTTTATCAAATGCCTTACTGAAGTCCAAGTAAATTATGTACACAGCATTCTTCTGACCCACTAATTTTGTCACTTAGTCAAAGAATGCAATAAGATTTGTCTGGCATGATCTATTTTTGACAAACCCATGTTGGCTTTTAGTAATGACTTTGTTTGCCTCTAAGTGTTCGTTGATTTGTTGTTTGATTATCTTTTCCAGGATCTTCCCAGGTACTGAGATCAGGCTGATAGGTCTGTAATTTCCTGGATCCCTTTTTTTGGTAGATGGGAACTACATCAGCTCTTTTCCAGTCCTCTGGTAGTTCCCCTGTGCTCCAGGATCTTTGAAAAATATAGTTCAGTGGTTCTGAGATCACATCTGCCAGTTCCTTGAGAACCTTGGGGTGTAATCCATTTGGTCCTGGTGATTTGAACTCGTCTAGGCTGGACAGGTGCTCACTTACCATTTTCTTGCCTATCTTAACTTGTGTTTCTATTCTGTTTTTTATGGCACTATTTTCGATAGGTTGGTCTGTTTTTTCCCTTTGTGTAAAGACAGATGCAAAAAAGGAGTTAAATAGTTCTGCTTTCTCCCTGTTGCTTGTCACCTTCTTGCCAATTTCACCCATTAATGGATCAATCATTAATCTATCACTGTGTTGTATCTTATGATTTGTGATGATTGTATTTTAGGAATCGTATCACCCGTTGCTTTGCATGTACACTGAGACCTTCTGCACCAGGAGACAAACCCCTTGTGTGCATCCAGTCTCACCTGGCCAAAGAAAGAACATTCTCTTCTCTTCTAACCAAACACTCACCTTGCTGGTCTCTTGGCTGTCGGGGTCAAACGGCACCTGCTTCACGGATAGCTCCCGTCCGATGTCCACATCGTAGCAAAGGTAGACTTCTCCAAAAGCTCCTCGGCCCAAGAGTTTCCCAAGCCTCCAGTTCACTGGGGCCTGCAGTGCTGAAAGAGGCAGAGAGAATAAGATCCTATCAACAATCTTCTCAGAATTCTGGTCCTCAATAATCCACATCTTTAAATAGGCAAGGATCCCTCACAATGCTGGGAAAACCCACTTTTTTCCACCTAGGTGGAATCTACAGGCAGTCCTCGACATACGACAACCGAGCCCAAAATTTCTGTTGTTAAGTGAGACATTTGAATTTTGCCCCGTTTTACGACCTTTCTTGCCACTGTTGTTAAGTGAATCACTGCCGTTGATAAGTTAGTCACCCGGTTGTTAAGTAAATCTGCCTTCCCCATTGACTTTGCTTGTCAGAAGGTCGCAAAAGGGGATCACCTGACCTAGGGATACGGCAACGGTCATAAATACGAACCAGCTGTCTGAATTTTGATCACGGGACCATGGAGGATGCTGTAACTGTGAAAAGCAGTCATAAGTCACATTTTTTAGTGCTGCTGTAAGTTTGAATGGTCACTCACCGAACTGTTGTAAGTCAAGAAAAATCTTTAGTGATTTCATCAAAATCTGAATGTCACTTAGTGCTTCTGGTTTCTACCTGTGTAGTTGCTAAAATGCTTCTAAAATGCGGGCTGGCATTTAAAGATGGATCGGATGTCCAGATCAATCTGCAATTTATTCAGCTTGATTTCTTTTCTATTACAGGATTTGTGGGTTCCCTGGAGAAGTCCAGAGAGCACCAAAGCCTCCGCAGTTCATCCCTGAGCTACACATATTCTCACCCGTTGGTACCTTTGTTCCACACGGGGCCAAAAACATGGAGGAACATTGAGGTAGCCCTGAGTATCTCCAGAAAAGTCTTGCATGAACATTAGGGAGATGGTGAAGCTTTCAACCACTCAAGCTTTCAACCACTGGACTTCCTTTTTTCTCTTTGAAGACATTTCCCTTCTCCTCTGAGAAGCTTCTTCAGCTCTGACTGGATGGTGGGGACTGGAATCCAGTTAGAGCTGAAGAAGCTTCTGGGAGGAGAAGCGAAACGTCTTCAAAGAAAAACAAGAAAGTGCAGTGGCCTCCTGAAAATAATCACCTTTGGAACAACCATGACCTGGATGACTGGGAATCTCCACAGACTCTCAGCCATTCAGTTTTTCTTTTAAATTTGCCAGATCAACAATGGAAGATGTCCAACTGACATATTAAATGGGAATTTCCTCAGGGCTTTTGGGGTCAGTGTTAGAAACCCTGTGCTGGTAGTGGAGGGTGGACTTGCTCTTGGGCTGTCCTGGGGATCCTCACCTTGTCTCTGAAAATGGCAGAAGAGTGAGGGATTCCTCACAATTCAAGGATGTTTTCCTCCTTCTTCCCAATGCAAATAGCATCCTCTAAGGCAGACATGTCAAACACAAGGCCGGGGCCGGATGCGGCCCGCGAAGTGGTTTCATGTAGCCCGCGAAGGCATCCTGGAAACAGTGAGGGAACGGCCCCCGCTGCCTTGGCCCTGGCCCAGGCCGGCCGGGAGCCAATGTACAATTTTGTGGTGGCCATCTATGCTGAAACGCATTCAGTCTTAGCTCCACAAGGCCGTCTAGAAACAGCGAGGAACCAGCCCCTGCTGCGTCGGCCCCGCCCCCTGGGTGCATGCTGGGGAGGTGTCACCCTTTGTGAGGAATGACGAAATGGACCATGCCTTGGCACTTGCCCCGGTCCCACCCCCTTCTGCCAGAGACCCTCAGATCTGTCCCACTCCGGCCCAGGCCCCCACAGGCACCCTTGATGCGAACGAAGTAGAGCTGGCCATGCCCACCCAGTAGGCCACACCCACCCTGGCCACACCCACCCAGTAGGCCGCAACCATCCTGGTCACACACACCCGCCCCCCCGAGGGCAACCACAATGCTGATGTGGCCCTCAATGAAACTGAGTTTGACACCCCTGCTCTAAGGCCATCAATTCCTCACAACATCTACATTATCAGCCAACCTTGATGTTCCTTCTCTGAGTGAAGGCCCAAGGATTCCAAGAGGGCATTGAAGATGGCCAACGGAGAGGATTCCCAACCAGAAACACGTACCCATCAGACGCCCACTGAAGTGAAGCCACTTACTGTTCCTGGTCTTGGGAGAAGAAGAGCTAAAGCCTTGAAAGATCTTGTCACAATTGTGCCACCACTTGTTGTTCCCTCGGTCCTCGTACCGCAAGGTGATCAGCTTGTTGTCTCCGTTGTAGCTCTTGGTTCGGCTGGAAGGCAGAAGCTGAAACAGGTTTTCTGGAGGAGCGTAACTTCTGGGGAATGTTCTCCGGCCTTCGAAAGCAATAAAGACAGAACAGGAAAAAAAATGAAACCATACAAGGGCTTCTTTACCTGATATACAGGTAGTCCTCGACTTATGACTTCCTTAATTGGAGCTCATATGGAGTAACAGGCAGTCCTTAACATGGAACCACAATTGGGCTAAACATTTTAGTTGCTAAGCAAGATATTGTTAAGGGAGCTTTGTCCCATTTTACGACCTTTCTTGCCACAGTTGTTAAGTGAATCACTGCAGTTGTCAAGTTAGTAACATGGTTACACTGAGAATGAAAGAAAAAGAAGATACAGATTATTTTGAAACTATGGAATTTATTCTATCGATGGCTGGAAAAACGCCATAGAGAGTAAGAACTTAATCGGTATTACTAAACAAATTAACCCAGATAGCACGTTGTTCATTAAGCACTGAGAAATTGTAATAACAGAAAATTAATAAAATATTATATATGTATAAAAAATAAGTTGAGGACTAACTGTAGTAATGTTATAGGATGTTCCTACACTGGCTAACTACGTTCTTCCCAAAGTGTCTGCAGGGAATGATAAAAAAAGTCAAGGTGATGTTAGCCACCATGGTGAGACCAAAATTGTTTTGGCCAAACTTTCTTCTTTTCTTCCTTCCTTCTCTTTTTCCCTCCTTCCCTCCTTCCTTCCTTTCTCTCCTTCTTTGTTTCTTTTCTCTATCCTTCCTTTCCTCTTGTTTTTACTTGTTTCTTTCTTTCTCCCTTCCTTCCCCTTCCTTTCTTTTTTCTTTCCCTTTCTTTCTTTCTTTCTTTCTTTCTTTCTTTCTTTCTTTCTTTCTTTCTTTCTTTCTTTTTCTCTCCTGTTTCTTTTCTCTATCCTTCCTTTCCTCTTGTCTTTCTTTCTTTCTTTCTTTCTTTCTTTCTTTCTTTCTTTCTTTCTCTCCTTTGTTTCTTTTCTCTATCCTTCCTTGCCTCTTGTTTCTTTCTTTTTCTTTTCTTTCTTTCTCTTTCTCTCCATTGTTTTTTCTATCCTTTCTTTCCTCTTGTTTGTTTGTTTCTTTCTTTCTTTTTCTTTCTTTCTCCCTTCCTTCCCTTCTCTTTCTTTCTTTCTTTCTTTCTTTCTTTCTTTCTTTCTTTCTTTCTTTCTTTCTTTCTCTCCTTTGTTTTTTCTATCCTTTCTTTCCTCTTGTTTGTTTGTTTCTTTCTTTTTCTTTCTTTCTCCCTTCCTTCCCTTCCCTCTTTCTTTCTTTCTTTCTTTCTTTCTTTCTTTCTTTCTTTCTTTCTTTCTTTTTCTTTCTCTCCCCCTCCCTCCTTCCCTTCCTTCTTCCTTCCTTCTTCCTTCCTCTTTCTCTCCCTCTCCCTCTTTCTTTTCTTTCCTACCATCTCACCTATTAGGACGATTGTCCATTACACCTTCACATCGACCCTACTGCCTTTTTCGAGCACCCCCTGCTTTCATACGTTACCATTCAAAAACAAATAAATCCTCGTTTGAGCAGACTTACCGTCAGTGTAATCCTTGCGACTCTGAGAGAGATGATACTGCCTCGGAAAAGTGCCGCCTTTCCCTCGGTCACAAAATGGGACGTTGAAATCTGTCCAAGAAAGAGAAACAAGGTAAGAAAGGTGGAAAAATTTTGGCCTGCTTGACTCTCGCCAGCGATGAAATTCAAGATGTCAGAAGCCCCCCCAGATTCTAAACCCAGTGAAAAGTTAACATAGAGAAAGAATTAAACAACATGTGTTATTTTACAGCTGAGTCCCTCCTATTATTTTTACCTATAAAGAAAAGCATTAAAGGAGGTTTTTTTTTAAAATTATTCCAGCATATTCATTTCAACCCTGCAGCCTAGGTTTATTTGAATTGTATAAGTTACATACAGAGTTTGTGTCTGTAATGTATAGAGATGGTAGACATGACAGCCCAAAATATCCGTTGCTTAGATAGGAAGTGGTTAAGTGAGTTTGCCCAGTTTGCTCCCTTTTCGCTGGAGCTGTTAAGCCAGTGGTTCTGAACCTTTTTAATGCCGCGACCCCCCAACCGGTCATAAGTCGAGGACTACTCAACCGGTTGTAAGTCGAGGACTACTCAACCGGTGCAGCACCGTTTGCAGAATGGGACTTTTGGCGGGCTCAGCAGGGCAGAGACAGCCTGGACAATTCCTATTGGCTTTTGAAAGCCAATAGAATTAGACTCTATTCAAGAGAGTCTATTCTATTGGCTTTCAAAAGCCAATAGAATAAAAGGGAGTAGCACAGCTAAGGAAAAGGGGGGGGGGGAAATGGCAGACTGCGTTGTTTGGCGACCCCCGTGAAATGGTCGTTCGACCCCAAATGGGGTCCCGACCCACAGGTTGAGAACCACTGTGTTAAGCGAATCACTGCAGCTCTTCCGTGAATCAGGCAGTCATTAAACAAATCTGGCTTCTCCCATTGACTTTGCTTGTCGGAAGCCAGCTGGAAACCACGTGACCCTGGGACGCTGCAACCATCATAAGTACATGCCAGTGGCCAACCACCCAAATTTTGATCACATGATCATGAGGATGCTGCAAAAGTCGTTAAGTGTGAAAAACGTTTTTTTCAGTGTCGTTAACTTTCTTATAAAACATTTGTAAGGATTACTTATATACTTGCAAAATGAATGGTAGAATCTGCTGTTTCGTCCTGAACTCAAGTTTTTAAAACTTTCAATTTTTATATTTTTATAAATAACTCCAGGAAACAAATATACTCATCCTCCTCCCATTTTCTCAACAACCCTGTGAACTGGGCTGGGCTGATAGAAAGTGATTGGTCCAAAGTGCTCCAGCTGGTATTTGTGCTTGAGGCGGGACTAGAACTCACAGGCTCCTGGTGATTGGTTCAAAGTCCCCAGGCTGGTGTTTTGTGCTTGAGGCGGGACTAGAACTCACAGGCTCCTGGTGATTGGTTCAAAGTCCCCAGGCTGGTGTTTTTGCCTGAGGCGGGACTAGAACTCACAGGCTCCTGGTGATTGGTTCAAAGTCCCCAGGCTGGTGTTTGTGCCTGAGGCGGGACTAGAACTCACAGGCTCCTGGTGATTGGTTCAAAGTCCCCAGGCTGGTGTTTTGTGCTTGAGGCGGGACTAGAACTCACAGGCTCCTGGTGATTGGTTCAAAGTCCCCAGGCTGGTGTTTTTGCCTGAGGCGGGACTAGAACTCACAGGCTCCTGGTGATTGGTTCAAAGTCCCCAGGCTGGTGTTTGTGCTTGAGGCGGGACTAGAACTCACAGGCTCCTGGTGATTGGTTCAAAGTCCCCAGGCTGGTGTTTTGTGCCTGAGGCGGGACTAGAACTCACAGGCTCCTGGTGATTGGTTCAAAGTCCCCAGGCTGGTGTTTTGTGCCTGAGGCGGGACTAGAACTCACAGGCTCCTGGTGATTGGTTCAAAGTCCCCAGGCTGGTGTTTTGTGCTTGAGGCGGGACTAGAACTCACAGGCTCCTGGTGATTGGTTCAAAGTCCCCAGGCTGGTGTTTTTGCCTGAGGCGGGACTAGAACTCACAGGCTCCTGGTGATTGGTTCAACGTCCCCAGGCTGGTGTTTGTGCCTGAGGCGGGACTAGAACTCACAGGCTCCTGGTGATTGGTTCAAAGTCCCCAGGCTGGGGTTTGTGCCTGAGGCAGGACTAGAACTCACAGTGCTGACATTTGTGCCTCCTTAGATAGGACTAGAATTCACCATCTCCTGATTTCTACCCTAGGGCCTTAAGCACTAGATCAAAATGGCTCTTATTTTCCTATTGGCTATATCTGCAAAATGAATCTCTTAGCAGCTTCTCCAAGATAAGACACTGTGACTAAGAAAATTGAGAAAGGCCCACTTGCTGAAAACAATATTTTTACAAAACAAAAAGAAGATAAAGGAATCTGTTTCAGAAAGCAAATATTGCAGCCAGGAGAACTATTACAAAAGGCTTAAGTTTCATTTTGTTTTCTTTTACTGCCTTAGAATAGCCCTGTTTAAGGCCAGTTATTATAAATCCTTCTTCTCCACATCACTTAACCATCATCGCTTGATCGTCCTCTCCTAAGACAGCTCAGCTGTTTCTCCTTAATGTGCTGTTCTTGAAGCAGAAGATGTTGACGCAGCCCGTAATGAATGCAGAAGGAAACAGGGGCTGTAGAGTGAACCGGGCGTTTGGGGCTCGGGCAAATGAAAGCTTAATTAAGAACTTGAACTCTGTGCCCTGGAGGCATATTAAAAATTCCCCAAGCCCCATAACTTAAATCTGAAATCAGCTTCAAACATTTAGTCCAACACAATATCACTTCAAGTCAAACACTTTCTTTCTTTCTTTCTTTCTTTCTTTCTTTCTTTCTTTCTTTCTTTCTTTCTTTCTTTCTTTCTTTCTTTCTTTCTTTCTCTTCTCCTTCCTTCACTTCTTTCTTTCTTTCTTTCTTTCTTTCTTTCTTTCTTTCTTTCTTTCTCTTCTCCTTCCTTCACTTCTTTCTTTCTTTCTTTCTTTCTTTTTCTTTCTTTCTTTCTTTCTTTCTTTCTCTTTCTTTCTTTCTTTCTTTCTTTCTTTCTTTCTCTTCTCCTTCCTTCACTTCTTTCTTTCTTTCTTTCTTTCTTTCTTTCTTTCTCTTCTCCTTCCTTCACTTCTTTCTTTCTTTCTTTCTTTTTCTTTCTTTCTTTCTTTCTTTCTTTCTTTCTTTCTTTCTTTCTTTCTTTCTTTCCTTTCTCTTCCTTTCCTCCCCCTTCCTTCCTTCCTTCCTTTTTTTTCTCTTTCTTCTCTTTCCTTCACTTTTTCTTTCTTTCTTTCCTTTTTCTTTCTTCCTTTCCTCCTCCCTTTCTCTATCCCTCCCTCTTTCTTTCCTTCCTTCCTTTCCTTTTTTTCTTCTCCTTCACTCTTTTTTCTTTCTTTCTCTCTCACTTTCTTTCCTTTCTCTTCCTTCCCTCCCTCTTCCTTCCTTCCTTTTTTCTTTTCTTTTTCTTCTCCTTCCTTCACTCTTTTTCTCTTTCTTTCTTCCTTCCTTCCTTCCTTCCTTCCTTTCCTCCTCTCTCTCTCTCTCTCTCTCTCTCTCTCTTTCTCTTTTTAAAGCATCCTTGGGCCCTTTGCCATGTATTCATTTTTTAATAGGAGAGGTCATGATAACATTAACGTTGAACAAATGTTCCAGTGATTTCCTCAGCTGGACAAGGACGTTTAAGTCAAGCTGTTTAGCGAGAATCAATTCTGCAAGGAAGATAACTGAACCGTTTGGTTCATGGAAGATCCCCGTTTTTCTGGGGCTGACCAACGGAACCCGTGGGAGGAGGACTGCCATATTTCTCATCCTTTGGCAGGTCATCCTTCTAAAGTTCAGCTATAACTTTTTTTTTTTTTTTTTACATTCTTGCTTTGGGGCAATTTTGACTCTTTCTCAGCCTTCTAAGATTTTGCTGAGACGTTGGTTACAGGCAATCCTCGACTTACAACCATTCATTTAGTGACTCTTCCAAGTTACTAAGGCACTGAAAAAAGCGACTGACAACCAGTCCTCACACTTATGACACTGTAATTGTCGACTGTAGTCATGTCAAGGATTATCTGCATATTAATCTTGGTTGAAGTCAACAACATTGTCTTATGCAATAAGTATTGTACAGTACTAATTATTGTGTAATCATACAATAATATTATACAACATTTACACAATCCAGGAACTCTGAATTCTTACCCAGACATTCCAAGCTGCCCTTGGTTTCTCTTTTTCTTCTTGAAGCTGGGGTTTTGCTGAAAGGTGGGCTGCACAAAGATCAAATTAGATTTATGCTCAGCCTTCAACATTGCTCATTCTTTATCTGCACACTAGTACCCTCCATTACTCAGACTAAAAATCTTAGCAATGCACAACATTTTAAATTCCTGAATAAATTTTAAACTGAGCATATAAAAATGTTAGGTATCTTGCATTAATAAACAAATGCATTACGGATGGCTTAAATCCCAAAGGTGCTTTTTCTAAAAGGCTACGGAAATTTCTTGGGTTTTGTTTTTCTTGCAAAACATTTTGCTTCTCATCCAAGAAGCTTCTTTAGTTCTTAATTGAGAGGTGAAATGTCTTCAAGGAAAAACCAACAAAGTCCTTTGGGGCAACCGTGATCTGGGTGACTGAGAATCTCCATAGGCCAGGGGTAGGCCACCTGGGCTCTTTTATGAGGGGACTTCAACTCCCAGAATTCCTGAGCCAGCCATGCTGAGGGAAAAGGGAGAGTTTCCAAGCTGAGCCAAGCTGGCTCAGGAATTCTGGGAGTTGAAGTCCCCTCATCTTCCTAGTAACTCAGGGGTAGGCAACCTTGGCTCTTTTATGACTTGTGGACTTCAACTCCCAGAATTCCTGAGCCAGCCATGTTGAAGGAAAGGGGAGAGTTTTCAAGCTGAGCCATGCTGGCTGAGGAATTCTGGGAGTTGGAAGTCCACAAGTCATGAGGGGACCATAATTCCCCCATGCTGGCTGAGGAATTCTGGGAGTTGGAGTCCCCTCATCTTCCTAGTAACTCAGGGGTAGGCAATCTTGGCTCTTTTATAACTCGTGGACTTCAACTCCCAGAATTCCTGAGCAGCATGGCTCAGCTTGGAAACCTCTCCCTTTCTCCTCAGCACGGCTGGCTCAGGAATTCTGGGAGTTGAAGTCCACGAGTCATAAAAGAGCCAAGGTGGCCTATCCCTGCCATAAGCTGATGACCTATATCTACCCAGAGAGTAAAAAAGGCCCCTTACAAATCAACAGCTCCACTTTAATAGAGGTAGTCCTTGACTTACAACAGTTCATTTAGTGACCGTTTGAAATTCCAATGGCACTGAAAAGAGTGACTTATGACTGCTTGTTACACTTAAACAACCATTACTGCATCCTCATGGTCATGTGACCCAAATCCGGATGCTTAGCAACCGGCTTGTATTTATAACTGTTGCTGTGTCACGTGATCCCCTTTTGCGACCTTCTGACAAGCAAAGTCAATGGGGGAAGCCAGATTCACTTAACAACCGTGTTACTAAGTTAACAACTGCAATGATTCACTTAACAACTGTGGCAAGAACGGTTATAGAATGGGGCAGAACTCACTTAACAAACCTAGCAACAGAAATTTGGGGATCAGTTGCGATCCTAAGTCGAGGACTACCTGTAGTTTTTCGTTCTTTACACTTAATAATTATTCATTTAATCGAAGAGCCTTCTCTGAGAAATCAAACAGAGAGTAAAGATGCCAGGTGAGTCATTCCAGAGGGGATATTTTAGAAGCCAGGACACCACCCCCCATCTCTAGTAGCCACCCACAAAAAGTTGTTCTGAAGATGCCCTCAAGGAATAACAAAGAAGATATGGAAACAGTTAAGCTTAGAATAGAAGAATAACAACTTTATTGTCACTTTAAATCAGTGGTTCTCAACCTGTGGGTCGGGATCCCATTTGGGGTTGAATGACCATTTCACAGGGGTCGCCAAACAACGCAGTCCGCCATTTTTTCCCACTTTTCCTTAGCTGTGCTACTCCCTTTTATTCTATTGGTTTTTGAAAGCCAATAGAATAGACTCTCTTGAATAGAGTCTAATTCTATTGGCTTTCAAAAGCCAATAGGAATTGTCCAGGCTGTCTGTGCCCTGCTGAGCCCGCCAAAAGTCCCATTTTGCAAACCAGTCGAGTAGTCCTCGACTTACGACCGGTTGAGTAGTCCTCGACTTACGACCGGTGGGGGGTCGCGGCATTAAAAAGGTTGAGAACCCCTGCTTTAAATGTACATTAATCAGCATACATTAAATGAGATTTTTTTTCTTTCTGGTTCTTACCTGTCTATGGATTGGTCCAGGGACTGACAACTGCTTGAAAGCGAATTGCTTGGGCTGATAAACGGGTCCAACAACTTTGAGAAAAAACAGAAGAAGAGAAATAAGAACGAGGGTTTCAGAATACGTTTGAAATAGCCTAAAGCACATCCGTTTAAGCACGTGTTATGCCAGCCAAGCAGAATATAACACAGTGGTTCTCAACCTTTTTAATGCCGCGACCCCAACCGGTCGTAAGTCGAGGACTACTCAACTGGTCGTAAGTCGAGGACTACTCAACTGGTGCAGCACCATTTGCAGAATGGGACTTTTGGCAGGCTCAGCAGGGCAGAGACAGCCTGGACAATTCCTATTGGCTCTCTTAGAATTCAAGAGAGTCTATTCTATTGGCTTTCAAAAGCCAATAGAATAAAAGGGAGTAGCACAGCTAAGGAAAAGGGGGAAAAAATGGCGGACTGCATTGTTTGGCGACCCCTGTGAAATGGTCATTTGACCCCAAATGGGGTCCCGACCCACAGGTTGAGAACCACTGATATAACAGAAGGGGACTTAGATCAAGAAGATTCCCAGGAATCTCCATGGGACTAAATGAAGTGGCCCGATCCCATTTTTTTCTTCTGCCATCTCAGAGTCAAAGATCTCTGGGATCTGATTCTCTTTTCTGAGCTTTCCAAGGCAACTTACTTTTTTTTTTTTAATTGAAAATTTTTACAGTTTTACAATAAAATAATCCCCCTCTCTCACCCCCACCCCCAACCCCCCCATCACGATCCCCCCTCCTTCCCAGAGCTGAATACAGGGTTAATAAAAACTAGAAAAAACCTTACAACTTAAATAAACATCAAACAATTGTAAATACATTCAAAGAACAAAATTTTAAATACTTTAACTCCAATATATAAAAACAAAACAAAACAACAGTTCTAATCGTTACCTTAAACATAAATTATTCAAAAGCTAAATAATACTTTTTAATCTCATATTTGTGCTGTATAAAATTCACCCATCTTTTCCACACCCAAAAATATTTCTCTTGCGACTGATCTTTCAAATAAGCCGAAATTTTTGCCATTTCAGATAAATAAGAAACTTTAAGAAACCATTCCTCTAAAGTAGGCAAAAACTGCTTCTTCCAGTATTGCCCTATCAGCGGCCTTGCCGCTGTAATTAAATTCAGCATTAAGATAATTTCTTTATCATCACAATCAACAATAATGCCTAACAAAAACAATTGTGGTGTAAACTTTATCCTTCTATTAAAATTTTTTTGAATGTTCCACCAAATCTTAATTCAAAAAGCCTTTATATTTTTACATGACCACCAAATATGATAATACGTTGCATCCAAACAACCGCATCTCCAACATTTGGGCTGCAGATTTGGATACATACGAGACATCTTTTGTGGATCAAAGGCAACTTACATTTTGATCCATCATTTCGGGGATAAATTCTCCTTCGCTGTTGATGCTGGTATAGGATCCCTGACGGGCGATCTGCTGCTGCTCTTCAGGGACGCTCCCGGGAGGCGGAGAACTCCGGCCGGTGTGCAGAGATCCTGCAAAACAGGCAGAGCTCATCGTGGGGAGATTGAGATTGTGGGTCCCAACCACAGGGAAGGGAGGGTGGGTTTAAAAGGGAACAAGCCTGGCAACCTAATTTCTGAGTGAGGGATGTTGGGCACAAAAGGAAAGTAAAAGAATTAGGAGAAAGCAGAACACTGAATACACAATAACGGAGTTGGAAGGGGCTTTTGGAGATCTTCTAGTCCAGTGGATCTCAATCTGTGGGTCGGGACCCCATTTGGGGTCGAACGACCATTTCACGGGGGTCGCCAAGCAACGCAGTCCATTTTTTCCCCCTTTTCTTTGGCCACGCCCCTGGCACCCGGTGATGTATAAGTAGTTGGGAGTCACCACAACATGGGGAACTGTATTATGGGGTCGCGGCATTAGAAAAGTTGAAAACCACTGTTCTAGTCCAACCCCCTGCTCAACCACTTCACACAAATGATTGCCCGGTCTCTTCTTAAAAACCTCCAGTGTTGGAGCACCCACAACTTCTGAAGGAAACTTGTTCCACTGGTTAATTGTTCTCACTGTTAGGAAGTTTCTCCTTAGTTCCAGGTTGCTTCTCTCCTTGATTAGTTTCCACCCGTTGCTTCTTGTCCTGCCGTCAGGCGCTTTGGAAAATAGCTTGACTTCCTCTTCTTTGTGGCAGCTCCTGAGATATTGGAACACTGCTATTATGTTCCTCCAGTTCTTCTTTGCACCTCAAGTGCAGCAATTTGCATGCGCCATGCCAAACGATGATGTTGGATGGATGTAAGAATCTGCCCTCAATGGAAGCAGAGGACTTTGCCCTGCTAAGATTGGTTTCAGTTGGTATCCTACAGATGTTCTATAACCTCCTCAAGCTTTCATACAGAATGACCAAACCCTGTGGAGAGTACCAGTTTCAGGCAGAAGACCTAGTTTAGAGATATTCCATGCCAAGGAGAACATCTGGAAACTTCAACAAGCATGTAAAACATACTGAGGGATGAGCTCACTACTAAAAACAGAACAAAATAACTGAGTTGGAAGGGAGCTTGGAGGTCTTCTAGTCCAACCCCTTGCTCAAGTAGAAGACCCTATGCCAGTGGTTCTCAACCTTTTTAATGCCGCGACCCCCAACCGGTCATAAGTCGAGGACTACTCAACCGGTTGTAAGTCAAGGACTACTCAACTGGTGCAGCACCGTTTGCAGAAGGGGACTTTTGGCGGGTTCAGCAGGGCAGAGACAGCCTGGACCACAGGTCGGCAACCTGCGGCTCCGGAGCCGCATGCGGCTCTTTGAGCCTTCCCCTGTGGCTCCCAGCCTCCTCTGCCTTTGCAGAGAGAGAGAGACAGAGAGAGGCAATTGCGCTTCCCTGCTTCAATCTCTCTCTCTCTCTCTCTCTGTGTGTGTGTGTGTTTGTGTTTTGTGTGTGTGTGTGTGTGTATGTGTAAAAGAGAGTGTACTCACATGTTCTCCGAGGAGCTGAAAAGCTTACTGGGCGGAGCTCCTCCCTTTGCTGCATCTCTGCAGGAAGCAGGAAGGGCAGGAGAGAGCTAGCTAGCCCAGCTAGGCTGACTCAGGAATTCTGGGAGTTGAAGTCCATGAGTCATAAAAGAGACGAGGTTGCCTACCCCTGATCTTGTTGGACAACAGCTTGAAGCTTGCCAGGTGAGCAGCAGATAGGAGAGGGGGGGGAGAAAGAGAGAGAGAGAAAGAGAGAGAGGGAGGGAGAGAGAGAGAGAGAGAGAGAGAGAGAGAGAAAGAAAGAGAGTGGGGGAAGAGGAGTGGTAGACCAAGGGCAGATAGAGAGGGAGGGAGAGAGACAGAGAGAGAGAGAGACCCTCTTGACATCTAAAATGAAGATAACACTGCATATATCCTTTTTTTAACCTGTGTGTGTATGTGTGTGTGTGTGTGTGTGTATACACATACATATATACATACATACATATACATACACACACACACACACACACACAAATACCCCCCCCACACACAAACACACACACCTATAATAAAGGTAAAAAAGGATATATGCAGTGTTATCTTCATTTTAGATATCAAAAGGGTTTTGCGGCTCCCAGTGTTTTGTTTTTGGTGGGAAACGGGTCCAAGTGGCTCTTTAAGTGTTTTGGGTTGCCTACCCCTGGCCTGGACAATTCCTATTGCAGTGATTCTCAACCTATGGGTCGGGACCCCATTTGGGGTCGAACGACCATTTCACGGGGGTCGCCAAACAATGCAGTCTGCCATTTCCCCCCCCTTTTCCTTAGCTGTGCTACTCCCTTTTATTCTATTGGCTTTTGAAAGCCAATAGAATAAACTCTCTTGAATAGAGTCTAATTCTATTGGCTTTCAAAAGCCAATAGGAATTGTCCAGGTTGTCTCTGCCCTGCTGAGCCTGCCAAACGTCCCATTCTGCAAACGGTGCTGCATCAGTTGAGTAGTCCTCGACTTACGACTGGTTGAGTAGTCCTCGACTTACGACCAGTTGGGGGTCGCGGCATTAAAAAGGTTGAGAACCACTGTCCTATTGGCTTTTGAAAGCCAATAGAATAAAAGGGAGTAGCACAGCTAAGGAAAAGGGGGGAAAAAATGGCGGACTGCGTTGTTTGGCGACCCCCGTGAAATGGTCGTTTGACCCCAAATGGGGTCCCGACCCACAGGTTGAGAACCACTGCCCTATGCCTTTTCAGAGAAACGATTGTCCAGTCTCTTCTTGAAAGTGCAGTGATGGAGCACCCACAACTTCTGAAGGCAAATCGTTCCATTGATTAATTGCTCTCACTGTCAAGAAATTTCTCCTTAAGTTCTAGCTTGGGTCTCTCCTTGATCCATCATCTACTGGAACTGCTAAACCGACTCCATGCCCATCCTTCTGGCCCAGAACAAAAGTGACCATCCTGAAGACTCCCAGATATTTTTTGACAGAAACTGAAGTCCAGCATTAGATGGAACTTGTCACAGCCCAGAGTCACCTTACGGAGGAGATGGGTGGCATAAAAATGTAATAAATAAAAAAACATCGAAGGCTGGACCCATACTGTGAAAGTGGGGGCATCTCAACCCTTCCCCAGTCTACCTCCTTTCTCTTGGGATAGCTGCTTCGTAGCTCCTTTCAATCTTGAGGTGTTCTTCTGCTTAGAAATACAGATTCTCACATCCAACACTGATGGTGGCACACAATTATCATTAACATCTGGATTCATCATTAACTAGAATCATCATGAACATCTCCCTCCAGCTTTGGCTTCTACATACAGCCCAAAATACATACTGGATCCAGCATCTGGCGTCCTTTGATGGACAGGTCCTCTGAAGCATTTAACCCCTATCTCTGGATTGTATTTTTTTCCCTCCTTTCCACTGATATTACAGGTGGTTCTCGACCTGAAACCACAGCTGGCATCAGAAATTTCATTGCTAAGCGTTGTTAAGTGAGTGGCATCCAATTTTATAACCACAATTGTTAAACAAATCACTGTGATTGTTCAGTAAATCCCACGGACGTGAAGCAAATCCACTTTCCCAGAGTTGACATGGACAGCAAGGAAGGTCACAAAAGGCAGACACACAACCTTGCCATGCTACAACTCTTGCAAACACATGCCAGCTGCCAAGTGCCCGAAGTTTGGTTGTGCGATCATGAAGATGCTGCAATAGTGGTTAAGCACAAGATTGGCTCGTGAGTCCCTTTTTCACTGCCACCACAGTAAGTGAATCGTTATAGTCAAGGACAACCTGTATCAGCCTTCGAAACTAGAATAAGCTGAGCCCCTATCAACATTCCTCAATTTCCCATTCTGCCTGTAGATCAGGGGTCCCCAACCCCTGGTCTGTGGACCGGTGCTGGTCCACGGCATGCCAGCAACTGGACCGCACGAACAACCAAAGCCCCGCCTGCGAGATGCAGATAGCACACAAAACCACACCCCCTCCAGTCGCGGAAAAATCTCTCTCCCCGTTACCGGTTCCTGGTGCCCAAAAGGTTGAGGACCTCTGCTCTGGATTATTTTCCTTCTCTCCAGAAAATGCCCACAAACATTTGGGAGTGTTTCTTCCTCTACAATCCCGAAGGTTAAAAACCTGATTTATTGGGGTGGAGGGGTGGGATGGGGGGGAAGTAAAGTTACCTTTTTCAGCCATTCCAAACCATTGTTGGAACGAAGAGTTGCAATCCTCCATCACTGTAGGGTTTGACACCCTGTTTCATTTCACATATTCCCCCCCCCCCCCGTCTGCTTAACGAGGGAGACCTTCTGCCAAGTCCTGCCTCTTTTTCTCCCAAAGAAGACTCTTTTGGGTGTTCTGCCAGCAACCGATATATATTAGGTCCAACTGTCATTGGTCGGCTAATCAGCCTGACCAGCAAACCGAAGGACAGCATCAAAACATACACATGGTGTTCGAGCACACGATGACATCTGCAGAAACTCCACGGAACAACAGACCAGCACATTTTGTTTCTCAGACAAGCTTTTTCTAAATACGTTCTAATATCCTGGGCAAAAGTTCAATGGCATCGTAAAGCAGGGGGGGAAACGCAATTGTTTTAAAAAAATAAAATAAAAAATCCATGCTTCGGCCTTCTAGGAATCTCACAGCAAAAGGACTAAGGCCGCTGTAGTAACAAGGACGAGAAATATTCATTTAACTATATTTAAAAATTAATTTAACTTAAATATAGATAGATAAATAGATAGGTAGGTAGGTAGACAGACAGACAGACAGATAGATATAGATAGACAGATACAGAAAGGCAGATATATAGATATAGATATGTAGATGTAGATATTTAAAGTCAATCAGATAAAAATAAAGAGCTCTGGGATGTAAGATAAAAGGCTTTTTTTATTAACTGCTGAGCTTTCGTTAACAACCTGTTAACATCATCAGAGCAAAGGGCTAAATGAGAAGGGGGAGCATGTGCATGGGTATATAGACTAAAAAGATAGAGACACACACACACACACACACACACACACACACACACACACACACACACACACACACACACACACACACACATATATATATATATATATATATATATATATATATATATATATATATATATATATATATATATGCCTAGAGGTTAATACAGCTGCCTAACATGCACACAGCCCAGGTTCGAATCTCAGAAGGGTAAGTCTGGCTGAAGAGAGTTAAGGAACTCGAAATAGCTATCCTAGTTCTCCCTTTATTCTTTGTTAGCAATCTAAAAATAAATGTATGCATGTGTATACACACACACACACACACCCACACACACACACAGAGATATGTAGATGTACAATTAGATATATAGAGATAGATAGATAGATAGATAGATAGATAGATAGATAGATAGATAGATAGATAGATAGATAGATAGATAGATAGATATAGAGGTAGATATGTAGATGTATATAAAGATTATATATATATAATATATATATATATATTAGATAGATAGATAGATAGACAGACAGACAGACAGATATAGACATAATGTGAGTTTGTGTGTTCATTTAAATATTTATTTAACATTCATTTGGCTAGTCTAGTCTAGAGAAAAAAAGGATAGAGGTGACATGATAGCAGTATTCCAGTATTTGAGGGGCTGCCACAAAGAAGAGGGGGGAGTCAACTTAATTTCCAAAACACCTGAAGGCAGGGCAAGAAATAATGGATGGAAACTAATCACGGAGAGAAGCAACCTTGAACTAAAGAGAATTTCCTGACAGTGAGAACAATTGATCAGTGGAACAACTTGCCTCCAGAAGTTATGGGTGCTCCATCATTGTGGAGGTTTTTAAGAAGGGAATGGACAGCCACTTGTCTGAAAAGATACAGAAGTCTTCTGCTTGAACAGGGGATGGACTAAAAGACCTCCAAGGTCCCTTCCAGCTCAATTCTAATTCCAATTCCGATTCCAATTCCTTTCTTAGACCAAACCTGGGCATTTTATGGCTCTTTGGCTGTCCCTATCCAGCCTACATGGATTGATTTATTTTAATAGAAGGTAAGGTAAAGGTTTTCCGGTCAGTCATGACCGATTCTAGGGGACAGTGCTCACCTCTGTTTCTTGGCCGAGGGAACCAGTGTTGTCCAAAGACACTTCTGTGATGATGTGGCCAGCAAGGCTACATGCCACAGATGCACTGAAGTGGTACCCCTTTATCTACTCGCACTTACATGCTTTTAAGTTGTGAGGTGGGCAGGAACTACTTTCTCCCTTGAAATTTATTTATTTATTTATTTATGAGACTTATATACCGCTTTAAGTGCAAGCACTCTCTAAGCAGTGTACACCAGTAAGCAACGTATATATATATTTACATTGCCCCCAACACTCTGGGTCCTCATTTTACCTACCCCGGAAGGATGGAAGGCTGAGTCAACCTTGAGCCGGTGAGATTTGAACCGCTGACCTGCTGAACACAGTCAGCTAAAGTGGCCTGCAGTACTGCACTCTAACTGCTGCGCCACCTCGGCTCCTAATGGCTATTTTTTTCCCAATTTAAGTATGGTCTTACATGCATGCCTATGCATCTTAACAGGACTATTGGTTTGGTCCTCCACAATAGTCGCAGTTTCTCATACTTTGGAAAATTAATTGCCTACCCTTGTTTTAGACAAATTTCCCTGCAGTCTGGCCAGCTACAGAAGATGAGGTTTTGAACTCCTTTCAATGTCACTAGAACATAGCAAGGAACTGTGGAAGTCGCAAGTATCAGCTATGGATCCACTTGTCTATCCTTGGCTGGGTCTGCCATTCCTGGAAGGCTGAGATCTGCAGTCCCAAAACATGTGGGAAAGACCAGGAGAGGCCATGTTGCCTTAGGGCACAAGTGTCTTATAGTTTGGGACATAGAACATAGAATAATAAGAGCTGGAAGGGACCTTGGAGGTCTTCTAGTCCAACCCCCTGCTCAAGTAATAGTAGTAAAGTTGGAAGGGACCTTGGAGGTCATCTAGTCCAACCCCCTGCTCAGGCAGGAAATCCTACACCATTTCGGACAAATGGCTGTCCAGTCTCTTCTTAAAAACTTCCAGTGTTGGAGCATTTACTGCTTCTGGAGGCAAGCTGTTCCACTGATTAATTGTTCTCACTGTCAGGAAGTTTCTCCTTAGTTCTAGGTTGCTTCTCTCCTTGATTAGTTTCCTGTCCTGCTTCTTGTCCTGCCTTCAGGGGCTTTGGAGAATAGCTTGACTCCCTCTTCTTTGGGGCAGCCCCTGAGATATTGGAATACTGCTATCATGTCCCCCCTTGCCCTTCTCTTCGTTAAACTAGACATACCCAATTCCAGCAACCGTTCCTTATATGTTTTAGCCTCCAGTCCCCTAATCCTCTTTGTTGCTCTTCTCTGTACTCTTTCTAGAGTCTCAACATCTCAAGTCTCAAGTAGGAGATCCTATATCCGTGGTGGCGAATCTACGGCACGGGTGCCACAGGTGGCACACGGAGCCGTCTCTGGTGGCACGCAAGCCATTGCTGGGCCGAGCTGCTCCCTCTTCTCTCCGTGCATGTACAGTCTGGCAATAGGCAAGAGGCTATAAAAGGAGCAACTTTCTGCAGAAGCATTTGCTGCAGACAGCTTGAGAGCGAGCACGAGTCAGAACGGACAGCAAGCGAGCACGAGTCTACAGCTCAGTGGCCATGCCCACTTGGTGGCCACGCCCACTCGGCACCCGGCGATGCGTAAGTGGGTTTGGGGTTGCAGTTTGGGCACTCTGTCTCTAAAAGATTTGCCACCACTGTCCTATATCATTTCAGACAGATGGTTGTCCAATCTGTTTTGAAAGCTTTCAGTGTTGGACCACTCAAAACCTCTGAAGGCAAGCTGGTCCATTGGTTGATTGCTCTCACTGTTAGGAAATTTCTGAAGTTCTAGGTTGCTTCTCTCCTTGGTTAGTTTCCAACTATTGTTTCTTGTCTTACCTTCTGATGCTTTGGAAAATAGTTTGACCCTCTTGTCTTTGTGGGAGCCCCTCAAATATTGGAACAGTACTATCATGTCACACCTAGTCCTTTTTTTCATTAGGCTAGACATACCCAGTTCCTGTAACCATTCTTCATATGTTTTAGCCTCCAGCACCCTAATCACTTTAGGGCAGTGGTTCTCAACCTGTGGGTCAGGACCCCGTTTGGGGTCGAACGACCATTTCACGGGGGTCGCCAAACAATGCAGTCCGCCATTTTTTCCCCCCTTTTCCTTAGCTGTGCTACTCCCTTTTATTCTATTGGCTTTTGAAAGCCAATAGAGTAGACTCTCTTGAATGGAGTCTAATTCTATTGGCTTTCAAAAGCCAATAGGAATTGTCCAGGCTGTCTCTGCCCTGCTGAGCCCGCCAAAAGTCCCATTCTGCAAACGGTGCTGCACCAGTCGAGTAGTCCTCGACTTACAACCGGTTGAGTAGTCCTCGACTTACGACCGGTTGGGGGTCGCGGCATTAAAAAGGTTGAGAACCACTGCTTTAGGGGTTCAAGGGATTAACTTCAAAGGAGAGATTTTATTGGTGGAAGAGCAGGGACTTAAATTTGCTCCACAAGCTTCTGAGAACAATCCTAGACATGGAACAGCCTTGGATATCTATATCATTCTTTGTGGAAGCTAAAAATATCAGACAGGATATTATTGATAGGAGAGAATATTTGTATCTCAGGATTGTAACATGGATGATAATATCTAGTTTAGTAATAAAACGTCGGCAAAAAAAAAAAAAAAAAAAAGCCACCAAGCTCAGAGAGCACCAAGGACCCCCACAATCCTCCTCCTCCTCATCTTCCTTTCCCTCTTCCTTCACTATCTCTTCTTCCTCCTTCTCCTCCTCCTCCTCTTCTCAGCAAACCCCACTTTCTTCCAGCACTCATGATGCTACCTAGTTGGGTTATGAAACATCCACAGGAAAGCAGCCAAGCTGAGAGAACACCAAGGACCCCACAGATAGAGTATTTCCAGGGTTAAAGGTCTCCCACTGGTCTGGAAGATGAGCTTATGGTTAGCCAGTAGGCCAGGGGTGTCAAACTCAATTTCATTGAGGGCCGCATCAGCATTGTGGTTGCCTTTGGGGGACCGGGTGGGTGTGGCCAGGGTGGGTGCGGCCTACTGGGTGGGCATGGATTGAGTGAGTGTGGCCTGATGGGTGGGCGTGGCCAGCTCTATATCGTTCGCATCAAGGGGGCCTGTGGGGGCCTGGGCAGGAGTGGGACAAATCTGAGAGTCTCTGGCAGAAGCGGGTGGGACCAAGGCAAGCGCCAAGGCATGGTCCATTTCTTCATTCCTCACAAAGGGTGACACCTCCCCAGCATGCACCCAGGGGGCGGGGCCAACGCGGCAGGGGCTGGTTCCTCGCTGTTTCCAGACGGCCTTGTGGAGCTAAGACTGAATGCGTTTCAGCATAGATGGCCACCACAAAACTGTACATTGGCTCCCAGCCAGCCTGGGCCAGGGCCAAGGCAGCGGGGGCCATTCCCTCACTGTTTCCAGGATGGCTTCGCGGGCCACATGAAACCACTTTGTGGGCCGCATCCAGGCCCTGGGCCTTGTGTTTGACATTTCTGCAGTAGTGTTTCTCCACCCCAGAGACTTTAAGATGAGTGGTCTTCAATTCCCAGAATTCTCCATGTTGGTTGGGGAATTCTGGAAGTTGAAGTCCACTCAGCTTGAAGCTGCCAAGTCGAGAAACACTGAAAGTTTAGGCTGAAGAGCACCCTCTATTCAGTTACAATAATGGGGTTCCTCAGAAGAACATGGTTACTGCACAACTTCATCACACCCACCTGTTGAATGCTTCCGTGTCCTCTCGGTGTCTTTGCACAGAGATCCCAGTATATCCCCCATTGATTTAGATATCCTCATCTCATGCTGCTTGGTGTTGTTGGGTTGCAGGAGCTACAAACAGAATAAAAATTGTTGGTAGGGCCCACCGAGCAACTGATAACTCAACTGTCCTGACTGTTGCAAGGAATAGCACTAGCACTAGGAAGAGCACTTAGACTTATATGTCACTTTATGGTACTTTACAGCCCTCTCTAAGCTGTTTTACAGAGTCAGCCTGTTGCCCCCCCCCCCAAATCTGGATCCTCATTTTATCGACCTCGGAAGGATGGAAGGCTAAGTCAACTTTTTTTTTTAATTAAAAAGTTTTATACAGTAGACAATATCCCAAAACCCACCCACCCCTAACCCTCCCCCCACTTCCCAGAGCTGAGTACAGGGTTACAAATTAATAATCAAATTCTAATTAACATTACCCAACTATATAAGTAACCAAATCCATAAAATACTTTAACTCCCATTTAAGATAAATATAAGCAAATTAAAACAAAAAGAATAATATAAACAAATCAATATTAATTAAACCATAGTAATACCAAATCTAAAATGAGTTATTATACTATCAGTACTAATCTAAAATTTACTCATAAGCTAAATGAAACTTTTTAATCCCATGTTTATTCTGAATATAATCTATCCATCTTCTCCAAACCGAAATATATCTTTCTTGTGTATGATCCTTCAAATAGGCAGAAATTTTTGCCATTTCTGCTAAATTTGACACCTTAAACATCCCATTTTTCTATAGTAGGCAAGGACTCTTTCTTCCAATATTGCCCTACCAATAACCTTGCTGCTGTTATTAAATTCAACATCAAATTAGTTCCTTTAACATCAAAATCTACAATAATACCCAACAAAAATAATTGAGGGGTAAACTTTATCTTTCTTTTAAAAATCTTTTGAATGTTCCACCAAATTTTAATCCAAAAAGCTTTTATATTTTTACAAGTCTACAAGGCTAAGTCAACTCTGAACTGGTTAGGATCGAACTCTTGGCAATGGGCAGAGTCAGCCTGCAATACCACATTCTAACCACTGCGCCACCACAGCTTTTTCATGGTACCACCATATCTCAGGAGGCTCCAGTGCTCAGTGAAAGAATCAAATAAGTGATCTATTTAAGTTGGCAGTGAGGGAAAAGCTGTGTAGCCCCTGCCTCAGGTCCCCTCGACTTATAACAGTTCATTTAGTGACCATTTAAAGTTACGACGGCACTGAAAAAAGGGGCTTAGGACTGTTTTTCACAGTTAGGTCCTTTGTAGCATCCCCACAGTCAAGTGATCCAAATTTTGACGCTTGGCAACTGGTTCATATTTAAGACCGTTGCAGCGTCCCAAGGTCATCTGATCATCTTTCTGAGACCTTTTGAAAAAAAAAAGCTAAGTCAAGAGGGAAGCTAGATTCCCTTAATGATTGTGTGAGTCATTGAACAACTGCAGTGATTCACTAAAGAGTCATAAAATCTGGTGTGACTTGCTTAACAACCATCTTGCTTAGCAACTAAAATGTCTGATCCCCAATTGTGGTTGTAAGTCAAAGACTTACCTGCTTTAAAAGAGTTAGGGTTGATTCTAATCTGCCTGAGCAGGGGGTTGGACTAGATGACCTCAAAGGTCCCTTCCAACTTTATTATTATTATTATTATTATTATTATTATTATTATTATTATTATGGATCATTGCAGTCAGCCAGATGTTCAGACTGAATTTGGCATTTTGTCTACCTATCGAGTCCTTACCCAGCACCTGGGATAGACAGATGTGGATGTTTGATGTTATTACGGATATCGTCGCAGGATGGAAGCATTTCCTAGTAAGGCCGCCTTTTGCAATTGACTAATAGCGAATTTGTCAATGCCAATGGTGTTCAAGTGGTGCTCCAGTTGTTTTGGAATTGCACCCAAGGAGCCTATGACTATTGGTACTACCCTTGCTTGCTTTTGCCACAGTCTTTCTATTTCTATTTGTAGGTCTTTGTATTTTGTTATCTTCTCCAGTTCTTTCTCTTCTATTCTGCTATCTCCAGGCACTGCCACGTCCACTATCCAGAATTTTTTGTCTTTCTTATCGACAATTGTTAAGTCTGGGGTGTTATGTTGCAGGTGCTTGTCTGTTTGAATTCTGAAGTCCCAGAGCAGTTTAATTTTATCATTTTCTATGACTTTCTCTATTTTATGATCCCACCAGTTCTTGCTTACAGGCAAATGATATTTCTTGTAGATCTTCCAATGCACCATTGTTGCTACTTTGTCATGCCGCTGCTTGTATTCAGTCTGTGCGATCTTGTTGTTGTTGTTGCTATTGTTGTTGTTGTTATTATTATTATTATTATGGATCATCGCACAGTCAGCCAGATGTTCAGACTGGATTTGGCATTTTGTCTACCTATTGAATCCTTACCCAGCACCTGGGATAGGCAGATGTGGATGTTTGATGGTATTACAGATATCATCGCAGGATGGAAGCAGTTCCTAGTAAGGCCGCCTTTTGCCATTGACTAATAGTGAATTTGTCAATGCCAATGGTGTTCAGGTTATTGTTGTTATTATTATTACTACAGTATATTCCGGCATATAGGGCGACCTGGCGTATAAGACGACCCCCTAGTTCAACGCCAGGTCGCAAGACGATCGACGCTGAGTCGCAAGATCATCGACGCCGAGTCGCATGCCTAGAAAGTCGTCTTATACACCGGAAACTATCTTATTTCTGGCGTATAAGACGACTCGGCGTATAAGACAACCCCTGTGTTCGGAGACTGTTTCGACACTATCAAAAGTTGTCTTATACGCCGGAATATACGGTATTTATTAAATAATGAGAGCTAGCTGGGATTGAGGCACAGTGGTATCCAGATGCTAAAAGCACATCCAAGGGATGCTAATAAAGGAATGCTAATTAGCATAAAACATTAATTACCTTTTACTTTATCTCATTTCATCTCACTCTGTTTCTTGTCTAGGCTCAAACTGCTCAGGGATTATGGCAACCTTGAACTCCAAAAAATGTTTCAGGAAGATTACTTTCTTCAGCATAGTCATTCAGAGACTGCTGGTTCAGAGGCAGTCCTCAACTTACAACGGTTCGTTTAATGACCATTGAAAGTTACAATAGCACTGAAAAAATTAGTATCTTATGACCCTATTTCAAACTTACAACTGTTGTAGCATCTTCATGGTCACATGATCAAAATTCAGACACTTGGCAACCAACTCGTATTTATGACGGTTTCAGTGTCCCAGAGTCACGTGATCCCCTTTTGCGACCTTCCGACAAGCAAAGTCAATGGAGAAGCCAGATCCACTTTACAACCATATGACTCACTTAACAACTGCAGGGACACGCTTAACAATGGCGGCAAGAAAGTTTGTGAAATGGGGTAAAACTCCCTTAAGAAATGTCTTGCTTAGCAACAGAAATTTTGGGCTTAATTTAGATCAGGGCTAGGCCACCTTGCCTCTTTTATGACTCATGGACTTCAACTCCCAGAATTCCTGAGCCAGCCATGCTGAGGGGAAAGGGAGAGGTTTCCAAGCTGAGCCCTGCTGGCTCAGGAATTCTGGGAGTTGAAGTCCATGAGTCATAAAGCGGCCTAGGCCTAGGCCAGGGGTAGGCAACCTTGGCTCTTTTATGACTCGTAGACTTCAACTCCCAGAATTCCTGAGCCAGCCATGCTGAGGGGAAAGGGAGAGGTTTCCAAGCTGAGCCCTGCTGGCTCAGGAATTCTGGGAGTTGAAGTCCATGAGTCATAAAGCGGCCTAGGCCTAGGCCAGGGGTAGGCAACCTTGGCTCTTTTATGACTCGTAGACTTCAACTCCCAGAATTCCTGAGCCAGCCATGCTGAGGGGAAAGGGAAAGGTTTCCAAGCTCAGCCATGCTGGCTCAGGAATTCTGGGAGTTGAAGTCCACCAGTCATAAAAAAGCCAAGGTTGCCTACTTCTGGCACTCTGGTTTTACTTGATGCATTCCTTCATGAGACAGTTGGGGAAGAAGGCAGCCAGTTGCTAACCCATGCACTCACTTGGTGCCCCTGGAACCAGGCAATCGCAGTTCAGAGTTGTAGTAGGGAGAGGAAATGCTGGTGGTCCTCGACTTATGACCTCAACGGAACCCAAAATTTCTGTTCCTAAGCAAGACAACTCTTAAGTGAGTTTTGCCCCATTTTACAACCTTTTTTGCCAGAGAGATTAATCACTGCAGCTGCACTGCAATAATAACATATTGATTAAGTAAATCTAATTAATGCCAGCTCTAGCAGAGATCAAAAACTGAGCTTCCCAACAATGGGAACTAAGACTGAATATTGGGGACAAGAAGGAAGGAAGGAAGGGAGGAAGGGAAGGAGGGAGGAAGAGGAGAAGGGAAAAAGAAGAGAGGGAAGAAGGGGGAGAAGGAAGAAATAAGGGAGTGAGGGAAGGGGGAAGAAGCAGGGTGGGAGGGAGGAAGAAAATAAGGGAGGGAGGAGGGAAAAAGAAGAGAGAGAGGGAAGGAAGGAAGAAAGGAGAGGGAGGGAGGGAGGCAGGAAGGAAGAAGGGAGGGAGGGAGGAGAGAGAGAGGCAGGAAGGAAGGAGAGAGGGAAGGAAGGAAGGGCAGGGAGGCAGGAAGAAAGGAGAGGGAGGGAGGGAGGCAGGAAGGAAGGAAGAAGGGAGGGAGGGAGGGAGGGAGAGAGGCGGAAGGAAGGAAGGAGAGGGAAGGAAGGAAGGAGAGGGAGGGAGGAAAGAAGAAGGGAGGGAGGGTGGGAGAGAGGCGGAAGGAAGGAAGGAGAGGGAAGGAAGGAAGGAGAAGGAGGGAGGAAGGAAGAAGGGAGGGAGGGAGAGAGGGAGGCAGGAAGGAAGGAAGGAGAGAGGGAGGAAGGAAGGAAGGAAGGAGAGAGGGAGGAAGGAAGGAAGGAGATATTTCTTAAAGCAGAGATTGGACAACTACAGTAAATAGGGTGTCCTGCTTCCCTTTCATCTCTGCTATTCTGTTAGCTTCCCCACTGACTTTGTTTGTCAGAAGGTCTTGCAAAAAGGAATCATATGATCCCGGGACACTGCCACTGTCATAAATATGAGTCAGTTGCCAAGCCTCTGAATTTTGATCATGTAACCAGTGATCATACATGCATGTGAAAAATGGCCATGGGTTTCTTTTTCCAGTGCAGCCGTAAATTCGAACAGTCATGCAATGAACGCTCGTAAGAGAAGGACTACCTGTAAAACACAATTTCCCATACAAATGAAAGTCTGAGGGAGGGGGGGGGTTTCCTTCTAACTTTTGCAATCATCAAAATAGGCAAGTTTTTTTCCACTCCTTTGGACAACCACATGGCCTTTTGCTTGGCACACAAACAAAAGGGGGCAAAAATAAAAAAAATAAATTAAAAAAAAAACTGAAAAGAAAGAACGAAACAGGTCTAACATTTGTTTCTTTTGGAGTTTTCACAAACACCCTCAAGCTTTTCAGGGAAGGGCTGAGGTCCAAGCGTTCCACTGCTCGGTCCAAATCTTCCTGTGACTTCAGGGGGACCAGGAGCTGGAAAAAGATTGAACAAACACAGGACACAGGCAGCTGAGTTGCAAACAAGGGAAGAGAGAGGAAGTGGCTGAAGGCCAGAGGGGGTGGGGGATGTGGGGGGGGGGGAGCTTGGGAACAACAGGGGTTTGGGGCCGCTGAGCCCAGGACCGTGCAAAGCCATTTGGAGGTTTCTACTGGAAAGCAGAAACAAACATTGGGGGCTGCAAGCTTTTATTCCATCATAACACTCCCTCAAGGAAGAACTCAACAAAAGTTATCCAAACAAATTACTTAGGAAAGGATTGCCACCAAATGCCTCTCCTTCTGCTAAAAGACCTGGACTGCGCTGAATAAATCCAGGTAGTCCTCCATTTATGACCCCAAAACTTCTGTTGCTAAGTGAGGCGGTGGTTAAATGGGTTTTGCTCCATTTTATGACTTTCCTTGCCACCGTTGTTAACTGAATCACTGCAAATTAGTAAATTAGTAACGCGGTTGTTAAGTGAATCCCCACTGACTTTGCTTGTCACAAAGTCACCAAAGGGGATCGCATGACCCCGGGACACGGCAACGGTCATAAGTATGAGTCAATTGCCAAGCGTCTGAATTTAAATCATGTAATCAAAAGGATGCTGCATGGTCGTAACTGTGAAAAACGGTCGTAAGTCACTTTTTTCAGTGCCGTTGTAACTTTGAACGGTTACTAACTGGACTGCTGTAAGTCAAGGACTACCTGGATGTGTGTATAGGTAGTCCTCGACTTACAACCATTCATTTAGTGACTGTTCAAAGTTACAACAGAACTGAAAAAAGGGACTTGTGACTGTTTTTCACACTTACGCCTGTTGCAGCATCCCCTTGGTCCTGTGATCAAAATTTGGATGCTTATTTATGACGGCTGCAGTGTCCTGGGTCATATGATCACTTTTGGTGACTTTCTGACAAGCAAAGTTACTGGGAGAAGCCAGATTCACTTAATAACCAGGTTACTAATGTAACAACTGCAGTGATAACAATTGTGTCAAGGCAATGAGGCAAAATTGACTTAACAATGGTCTTGCTCACCGATGGAAATTGCAGGCTCAGTCGGGGTCGTAAGCTGAGGATTACCTTTATAGAACTGTGAAGCATGCTCTGTGAGGGGATTTCTAGGTGGTACACAATGGAACACAACTACAACAAATGGGGATTCCCATTGTGTCTTTTGATATCCTTCAATTTCTTCTCAAGCTGTAGAGCAGGGGTACTCAAACTTGGCCCTTTTATGACTTGTGCCTGGCTGAGGAATTCTGGGAGTTGAAGTCCACAAGTCATAAAAGGGCCATGTTTGAAGACCCCTGTTTGTGGACTTCAACTCCCAGAATTCCTCAGCCAGACACGCTGGCTGAGGAATTCTGGGAGTTGAAGTCCACAAGTCATAAAAGGACCATGTTTGAAGACCCCTGTTTGTGGACTTCAACTCCCAGAATTCCTCAGCCAGACACGCTGGCTGAGGAATTCTGGGAGTTGAAGTCCACAAGTCATAAAAGGGCCAAGTTTGAAGACCCCTGCTGTAGAGCATCAGCCATTCTCCTCAGCAAAGGTCTGATTGAAGATTCCTATACAGGAAATAGAAATTAAACTGAGATTAGTATCATCTGTCCATTCCTAGCCAGACCAGAATCAGTGGCAGAGTTCAGTTTAACCTGGTAGGGGGAGGTGTATTCCAAAGAAGGCTCTTTTCCAGCAATAGGAATCAAGAATTAAATTTACGTTCTTAAGATTGCTCTGCAATTTATCTCTCCTGATATGCATTCCCTACTTGGAATTTGTTTAACCACTTTTCTCTGGCAATCGGCTGCCAATGTCTTCCATGACTGCCTCTCTCTCCTTGGAATGCCCATTAATCTTTCAAAATCTGGAAATAAAATATACTACAGCCTTCCTCCTTTTTCCCACAGACCCACATAGCCAGCCTCAAAAGACCCCAGATTAAAAAGTATGCTTGGCGCACCCTTGGTCTTGCCTTCTGCCTGTTGCCAAAATTGGAGAAAAACTGGATTTCTCATGCCAGCAAAATTGTCTTGTGCACGGACAGTCTCCACCAGATACTGGCCTAAATTTAGATGCATGCAAACTGGAGTTTGTTGGCACGTTGCAAATTCAGGAAACAAGCACAGCTTTCCTGAATCTTGGACACTGAATAAGTACATTAATATAAGGCAGGAAGGTAGCAAAAACTGCCAAATGCTGACTCAAGGCTTTGCTTCTCTACATGTTTAAAACAGGACGTAAGTCCACGAAGTTAAAGGGACTGTGTAAAGGGGAAGAAACTGAGATATCAATGCAGTTCCCAAACAAAGTTTACTCTCTGAAAAGCACCACCCCAGAATAAAAGGAATTTCAAAACTAAAAGTGTTCCCCAAGTTTACTTACTTATTTTTCATGGATCATTCAGAACTTCCAACTGGGCAGAACATTTATTGCAGTGGTTCTCAACCTGTGGGTCGGGACCCCATTTGGGGTCGAACGACCATTTCATGGGGGTCGCCAAACAACGCAGTCTGCCATTTTTTCCCCCCTTTTCCTTAGCTGTGCTACTCCCTTTTATTCTATTGGCTTTTGAAAGCCAATAGAATAGACTCTCTTGAATAGAATCTAATTCTATTGGCTTTCAAAAGCCAATAGGAATTGTACCAAGCTGTCTCTGCCCTGCTGAGCCTGCCAAAAGTCCCATTCTGCAAACAGTGCTGCACCAGTTGAGTAGTCCTCGACTTACGACCGGTTGAGTAGTCCTCGACTTACGACCGGTTGGGGGGGGGGGTCGCGGCATTAAAAAGGTTGAGAACCACTGATCTATTGGATAAAGCAGGTGTGTCCAACCATGGCAACTTTCAGACCTGTGGACTTCAATCCCCAGAATTCCTCAGCCAGCATGGCTGGCTAGGGGATTCTGGGAGTTGAAATCCACCCATCTTACAGCATGCCGGCTGGGGGATTCTGGGAGTTGAAGTCCACCCATCTTAAAGCATGCTGGCTGGGGGATTCTGGGAGCTAAAGTCCACCCATCTTACAGCATGCCGGCTGGGGGATTCTGGGAGTTGAAATCCACCCATCTTAAAAAGCATGCTAGCTGGGGGATTCTGGGACTTGAAGTCCACCCACCTTAAAGCATGCTGGCTAGGGGATTCTGGGAGTTGAAGTCCACCCATCTTAAAGCATGCCGGCTGGGGGATTCTGGGAGTTGAAATCCATCCATCTTAAAAGCCTGCCGGCTGGGGGATTCTGGGAGCTAAAGTCCACCCATCTTAAAGCATGCCGGCTGGGGAATTCTGGGAGTTGAAATCCACCCATCTTAAAGCAGGCCAGCTGGGGGATTCTGGGAGTTGAAGTCCACCCATCTTAAAGCATGCCGGCTGGGGGATTCTGGGAGTTGAAATCCATCCATCTTAAAAGCCTGCTGGCTAGGGGATTCTGGGAGTTGAAATCCACCCATCTTAAAAAGCATGCTGGCTGGGGGATTCTGGGAGTTGAAGTCCACCCATCTGAAAGCATGCCGGCTGGGGGATTCTGGGAGTTGAAGCCCACAAATCTCAAAGTTTCAATGTTGGATAGCCCTCGCTAGAGACAGGACACCTCTCTAAACTTTGGAAGTACTTTCTGCAAGGGCTTTTAAAATATATTTGTCTTGGAGTTTGTGAGGTGAGCGGGGATCTGAAGAAAGGAGGACCAAAAAAAATATTGTCCCATCTTATTGCTGTCACATTCCCCACGAAGAGCGAGAGACAGAAAAAGAAGCAACATATAAGGTACCTCATTGTCAGCATAATGCAAATCCATCAACTGCCCAAAAGCATCCATGACTTTTTGCAAAACATCTTTGAACTTAACCGGCCTCGGGAACTGGATAATCCTGCAGAACGAGGATGCATTTGTGAAAACAGTTAAAATCACCCTACCAATATTGTACAGATAGTCCTGACTTACAACAGTTTGTTTAGTGACCGTTCGAAGTTACAAAGGTCATTAAAAGTGACTTATGACTGTTTTTCACACAACTGTTGCAGCATCCCCAGGGTCATGCAATTAAAATTCAGATACCTGTCAGCTGACACGTATTTATGACGGCTGCAGTGTCCCTAGGTCACGTAATCCTCTTTTGTGATGAGCAAAGTCAATGGAGAAGTCAGATTCACTTATGACTAACTTAACAACTGGAGTGATTCACTTAAAGTACAAGAAAAGTTGTAAAATGGGGCCAGACTCACTTAACATGTCTCACACAGCAAGAAAAGTTGTGGGATCAATTGAGGACTTCCTGTGTACTTTTTGTAACAGCAGGCTCTTGTACACAAAGGCAAATAAAATCTCTGTGACTGAGGCTTACTTATAGCTGGTCCTCGACTTATTACTGTAAGGCAGTGTTTCTCAACCTTGACAATTTTAAGGCATGTGGACTTCAATTCCCAGAATTCCACAGCCAGCAATGCTGGCTGTGGAATTCTGGGAGTTGAAGTCCACATGCCTTAAAATTGTCCAGGTTGAGAAACACTGCTATAAGGGAGCCCAAAATTTCTGTTGCTAAGCAGGACAATTATTAAGGGAGCCGTTCCCTAATTTATGACCTTTTCAAAGCAAATCAGATGTTGTTGTTAAGCAGATTAGTGCAGTTGTTAACTGAATCATATTGTTGTTAAGTGAATTTTCTTCCCCCACTGTCTTTGCTTGTGGGAAGCTAGCTGGGAAACTCACAAAAGGGGGTCACATGACTCCGGGATGCTGCAACTGTCATAATACATGCCAGTTGCCAAACAATTTTGGTCACATGACCAAGGGAATGCTGCAATGGTAGTAAATGTGAAAACCGAGCACAATTCACTTATTTTAGTTTAGTGGTAACTTCATGGCCACTAAATGAATGGTTGTAAGTTGAGGGCTATCTATAATGTTGTGAATGTGTAGTGAGTTATGTTAGAATGGTTCTGCTGAATGTCAAGGAAAGCCCCACTTTCCAGGCCCTGGAAAACCAGAATATTTATCAAGAATATGGTCTCCTTTCCCCCATGATCTCATGGACATTTAGACTGCTTACAGAATTCTGATGTAAGCTACAGACAATCCTTGACTTATGTCCATTCATTTAGCGACTGTTCAAAGTTATGACCCCTAAAGTGACTTTATACCACTTTATAAAACCTTAGTAAGGCCACACCTGGAATACCATATCCAGTTTTGGTCACCACACTACAAAAAAGATGTTGAGACTTTGGAAAAAGTGCAGAGAAGAGCAACTGAGATGATCAAAAGCCTGGAGATAAAAACATATGAAGAACGGCTGCAGAACTTGGGTGTATCCAGTTTAATGAAAAGAAGGAGTAGGGGGGACATGATAGCAGTATTCCAATATTTGAGGGGCTACCACAAAGAAGAGGAAGTCAAGCTATTTTCCAAGGCACCTGAAGGCAGGACAAGAAGCAATGGATGGAAACTAATCAAGGAGAGAAGCAACCTAGAACTAAAGAGAAACTTCCTGACAGTTAGAACAATTAATCAGGGGAACAACCTGCCTCCAGAAGTGGTGAATGCTCCAACACTGGAAGTTTTTAAGAAGAGACTGGACAGCCATTTGTCTGAAATGGTATAGGGTTTCCTGCTTGAGCAGGGGGTTGGACTAGAACAGGGCTTTTCAACCTTTTCACCCACTGTACCACTTTTAGGATATGGCAACATCTGAATACCACCAGTCGCCTAGCAAGGTGTCAAAAACTTGATGACCCCCCCCAAAAAAGGAAAAAAGTGATAAAGTACAGGTAGTCCTCGACTTACAACAGTTCGCCTAGTGACTGTTCGAAGTTACACTGGCACTGAAAAAAGTGCCCAAGCCACAGCCGAGCAAGACAGCACCCGGCGACGCTCTTCCTCCTGTCTGAGGTTTTCATTGTTGTGAGCATTTCTGTTGGGGATTGGCAGCGGGGGTGGGGAGGGGGGTATTTGGTTTTTATTCCCCCCGTCTGCTGGGTGATTGCAGCAGGTTTTGGTCACTTCACATGACCCTGGGACACTGTGACCGTCATAAATATGAATCCGTTGCCAAGCATCTGAATGTAAATCACAAGACCTGGAGATGCTGCAACATTCCAGCTGATCGATGCTTCTTCTGGGCTCAGCAGAAGCCCCAGAATCAGTGCTGCTTTCCAGCTGATCGGCACTTCTTCTGGGCTCAGCGGAAGTGCCAGGATCAGTGCTGCTTTCCAGCTGATTGGTGCTTCTTCTGGGCTCAGCAGAAGCACCAGGATCAGCGCAGAGCTCCAGCTGGAGCCTGGCGCTGATCCTGGCGCTTCCGCTGAGTCCTGACAGCCCTGCAGCTCCAGCCCTCTCTTGCTCAGGCTTGTGCGTTGCTGCCACCAGTTCAGCTCCTTCCCCTCCCCCACTACCCCTTTTCTAGGATTGTCACGTACCACCTGCCAGATGCCAATGTACCACAGGTGGTACCCATACCACTGGTTGAAAAGCCCTGGACTAGATGATCTCCAAGGTCCCTTCCAGATCTATTCTGATTGACTGACTGACTTACAATTGATACTTGCACTTACAATCATTGCAGTGTCCCCAGTGGACATATGATTGTGATTTAAACTCTTGTGCAAATGGTGTATATATTTACATCAGTCTTGGGGTCACATGATGCCCCTCTTGAGACCTGTCCATCCAGTTTCCAACAAACAAAATCAATGGGGGAAGCAGTCTGATTAGCCTAATAACTATAGCAAAAAAAGGTGCAAAATTATAAGATAAGATGAGATAAGATAAATCTTTATTGTCATTTTCTACTATGAGCACACTGGCCCACATTAAAAATGAAATTCTGCTACCTGCTCTCAAAAGAAAGTATATAAAATTGAGGGCATTGCTTAGCAATAGAAGTTCCAATCCCAACTGTGGTCATAAATCAAGGACTATCCGTATGTCAGAGGAAAATGGCACCTGTGTAGCAAGAAAGGGAATCTTCATATCTGCTTAACTGTATCATGGAAAATATAATACAGGTGGTTCTCGACTTACAAGGGTTTATTTAATGACCGTTCAAAGTTACAGCGGCACTGAAAAAAGTGAATTATGGCCATTTTTCACACTTACGACCATTGCAGCATCCCCACAGTCACATGATCAAAATCCAAACACTTGGCTACTGACTCATTTTTATGACGGTCGCAGCGTCCCTGACTTATGTGACCCCCTTTTGCGACCATCTGACAAGAAAAGTCAATGGGGAAGCCAGATTCACTTAACAACCGGGTTGCTAACTCAGCAACTGCAGCGTTTCACTTAACAACGGTGGCAAACAATGGGGCAAAATTCACTTAACAACTGTCTCATTTTGCGACAGAAATTTTGGGCACGATTGTGGACTACTTGTAGTAGTTGCGCCTTATTATCCAACGCTGAGAAATTCTGTCCTTCCACTCAATTCTTAACTAAGCGAATGCATTTAATACATTGGCATAACTGCATTTTAATCTTATTGCCAGAATGCAGAATGTAAGCTGCTCAGAGTCATTTGCTGAGTAATGATTTGGATTTTAACTGAAATGCTTTGTGTTTTGTTTTTTGGTTCCATCTACTGTTCACTACCCAGAGTTGCAAAATTGATTGGTAGGGCCACATTCAATATTTTAAATTAAATTAAATTTAATTGATTACTTTTCAAAGGGAATGGCATGTAATCATGAGAGAATAAATAAAAAATATTGCCAACATCTCAGTACTATATAATTATTTTGTAGGGATACTTGAAGGGGGACAACTTTCTGACGAAAACAATCAAACAAGGGAAAGAATGTTGGGTTTATTTACTTATGAGTTATGGTTTTTAAGGTTCAGCAAAAACAAGCAAAATATCTAAACCTGACAGACCCAGGTCCAGGGATCTATAGGGGGGAAATTTAATGAAAAAATAAAATAGATATACCTTTTTTCTCCATCATGCTCAAACTTGATCCTGGCATTCCGCAACTATGGAAGAAAAGGAGACAGAAAACCATTAAATATAGATAGATAGATAGATAGATAGATAGATAGATAGATAGATAGATAGATAGACGGATGGATGGATGGATGATAAATAGATGATGGATGGATGATAGAGAGGGATGGATGATACAGAAATAAAATAGCTGAGATAGCTAGCTAGCTAGCTAGCTAGCTAGCTAGATAATGATAGAGATATGATATATATATATATATATATATATATATATATATATATATATATATATATATATAGGGAGAGAGAGATGGATGGATGATAAAATAGTAGATAGAGAGATAGATAGATAGGTAGGTAGGTAGATAGGAAGGAAGGAAGGAAGCTAGTTATGGATTAATGGATAGAGTAAGAAATGATAGATAGATATAGATAGATAGATAGATAGATAGATAGATAGATAGATAGATAGATAGATAGATAGACAGGCACAGACAAACAGACAGATCGATAGATAGAAAGAGAGAGATGATAGATATGATAGAGAGAGGTATGGATTGATGATAGAGTGAGAGATAATAGTTGATAAAAAAAGATGGTGGATGAGATGATAGATGGATGCATGAATGGGTAGATAAATATGGATGGATAGATAAAACAGGCAGGTGATAGGTGATACACAATAGCTAGATAGCTAGATGATAGGTAAATGATAGAGTAAGAGATAACAGATAGCTGATAAAGAGATAGAGATAGATAGATGATAATAGGTAGATAATAGAGATAATGGTTGAAAGAGAGAGAGAGAGACAGATAGACAGACAGTTCTTCTGCTCTTCTCATGTTACCAGGTCTTAACTATTCAGTCTCAGCTTCAATTCATCCATCACCCTCTTTCCTTGTTTGGTATCTGTAATATCTTGCAGCCCATCCTCCCAAATAGGATTAAGGATAAAATAACACATAGGGCATGTTTAAAATAGACGAAAGTCTCTATTGCTTGAAAGCAAAAAAAAAATTTCTAGTGATAATTTGCTTGTCTTTCAAAAATGTTTGAGCAGGACCATCCTACAGGACATGACCACTGAAGTAAAGACGAGGATAAAGAAAGCCCGAACAGCATTCTTCAAAATGAAAAAGGTCTTCTGCAGTCACGATATAAGCCTAAGACTGAAAATCAGGCTTGTCAGATGCTATATTTTTCCTATCCTGCTCTATGGAGTAGAGAGTTGGTCTCTGACAGAAGGCCACCTGAAGAGACTAGAAGCATTTCAAATGTGGATTGACAGGCGGCTGTTACGTATAAGCTGTGTTGACAAGATCAGAAATGAGGAGGTGATAAGCCGCCTGGGAAAGCCAAGGAAAATCATTAAAACAATTAAAAAACAAAAATTAGAATATTTCGGACATGTGATGCAACACCCAGAAAAATACGGCATACTCCATTTAATCCTCCAGGGCAGTGTTTCCCAAACTTGACAATTTTAAGGCATGTGGACTTCAACTCCCAGAATTCCACAGCCAGCGTGCTGGCTGTGGAATTCTGGGAGTTGAAGTCCTCATGCCTTAAAATTGTCAAGTTTGGGAAACACTGCTCCAGGGAAAGATGGAAGGCAAACGAGGTCCAGGCAGAAGAAGAACATCATGGCTTCAAAATCTAAGGGACTGGTTTGGACAAAACTCAGCAGCACTTTTTCGTGTGGCTGCTGATAAAAACAGGATCGCCAACATCCAATAACGGATATGGCACAAGAAGAAAAAGGACCATCCTATAATTTTTATTTCTGCAGGACCCAGTAAAGACCCCTCCCATTGGCAAACGTTTAAAAAATACTTCTGGTGCTGAATCAGCTGGTTGACTGCTCCGATAACATAATGCAACAAACTAGGGTTTGATTTAGCATGCTATGTGAACTTGCTTTCTCTCTTAACGAAAGAAAGCTCTGCAAACTAACAGAACAATGCAATCTTGACGTTCTTTTCTTCTGGGTCTCATGGAAAAAGACTTGGGGGAAAAAATTGAAACTCTGATTTTATATATGTTGACAGCAGCAAGACTACTCTACACATAAAAATGGAAGGATGTTTCGATTCCCACTATGGATGAATGGATACAAAAGTTGATGGAGTTAGTAGAGATGTCTAAACTGATAAAAATTGTTTTGATAAAACAAAAAAATATAAGAACTTTTGTTTCTACTTGGAAACCACTTCTGGACTTTATGCACGAGGTGGGAAAAAAATGATGCTTTGATTTTGGGTTTTACTGATTAGACTGATTTGTTGATATAGAAATGGCTAGTTCATACTACTATAGAAATGTAAAAAGTTGAGATTTGATTTTAATGTCTTATTTTACTGCGACAAAAGGAAGTCAATACCTTTTTTTCTTTCCCCTTTTCCCCACACTTCTCTTTTTTTCCCTCCCCCTTAACTTTGTTCCCTACTATTTGCTTTTGTATTTTCATATTTTATATTATGTTAATAAAATAAATAGACAATTTTGCTGTTCCCCAAGCAGGGAGTTTTGGAAAAATGTATCCATTTCTTGTAAACTAGAAGCATAAAAGTGAAAAGTGCTCGGTAAAATCCACAACTGATTGGAGAATTAGGTGGGACCACTATTCTTAAAAGTTTGGGGTTTTTTTTTTTTTTGTTACGGAGAATTAAATTACAACTTTATCTCTCTCTCTCTTTTCTCCCTCTGGTTTCTTTTTGGGGTGGAAAAAGTGCATCCTATATTTGGGAGTGTACATTGTTTGCCAAGATCAGCCACACACTGCTGGTATCTAAACAGGAGAATTCCTAGAGGAGCAAAATGGATGACGCCTTTTCCTGAAAACTCTTCTTATCTTTTACTTGAGGTTTATCCAGAACATGATTAGCAGTTTCCATGCTTCCATTCTATGCGCCTGAAAATATGTTGTGGCAGTGAGGAAGTTTCAGTTCAACGGCTATTTATGTGGAAATATGCGCGTCTTTATTAAAAAGATCACATCCTAATGTGGCAAAATGGACCGCATCAATAACTGGCTGAAGTTGATTGATTTCAGAATAACAGAGTGGGAAGGGACCTTGGAGGTCATCTAGTCCAGCCCCCTGCTCAAGCAGGAGACTTTATACCATTTCAGACAAATGGCTGTCCAATCTCTTCTTAAAATCTTCCAGTGATGGAACACTCACAACGTCTGGAGGCAGGTTGTTCCACTAATTAATTGTTCTGACTAACAGGAAAATTCTCCTTAGTTCTAGGCTGGTTCTCTCTTTAATTATCTCTCATCGATTGCTTCTTATCTACTTTCAGGTGCTTAGAAGAGGATGACTCCCTCCTCTCTGTGATAGCCCCTCAAATATTGTAAGACTGCCATCATGTCACTCCTAGTTGTTCTCTCCACTAGTCCACGGGTAGGCCACCTTGGCTCTTTTATGACTCGTGGACTTCAATTCCCAGAATTCCTGAGCCAGCATGGCTCAGCTTGGAAACCTCTCCCTTTCCCCTCAGCATGGCTGGCTCAGAAATTCTGGGTGTTGAAGTCCACAAGTCATAAAGCGACCTAGGCCTAGGCCAGAGGTAGGCAACCTTGGCCCTTTTATGAATCATGGACTTCAACTCCCAGAATTCCTGAGCCAGCCATGCTGAGGGGAAAGAGAGAGGTTTCCAAGCTGAGCCATGCTGGCTCAGGAATTCTGGGAGTTGAAGTCCACGAGTCATCAAAGAGCCGAGGTTGCCTACCCCTGCACTAGACTAACCTTCCCCGTTCTTGCAACCATTCTTCATGTGTTTTAGCCTCCAGCCCCCTGATCATCCTTGTTGTTCTTCTCTGCACTCTTTCCAGAGTCTCAACATCTTTTTTATAGTGTGTTGACCAAAACTGGATGCCATATTCCAAGTGTGGCCTTACTAAGACTTTATACAGCAGTGCTAGTTCCTCATGTGATTTATGATTCTATACCTCTGTTATTGTAACAAAAATTCCAAATTCAGCTGATTCCCATCAATAATTGGAAATCAGCTGAATTTGGTGGGTCACTAAACTGGGTCATCACTGTGGATTCACTTAAGTGATAGATCCCTTGGAGTTCCTGAGCTATATCTGTTGAAACAGGAGTGTCTCTTAAACACCGATGAAACAGAGGACCCTAATCTATTTCCTACCAGCTATCATTGCTTGTATGGATGTTACGTTATTCTCTGTGGCTGAGCTGAGGAATTCTCCAATTGGCAAAAAACAGCATTGACAGCATGGCTCGATAGATAGTTCTCGACTTACCACCAGAACTGAGGCCAGCGTTTTCATTGCCAAGCAAGACAGTTGTTAAATGAGTTTTATCCCATTTTATGACCTTCCTTGCCACTGTTGTTAAGTGAATCACTGCAATTGTTAGTAACATGGTTGTTAAGTTAATCTGGCTTCCCTATTGGCTTTGCTTGTCAGAAGGTCACAAAAGGGAGTCACGTGATCCTGGGACACTGCGACTGTCATAAACGTGAGTCAGTTGTCAAGCCTTTGAGTTTTGATTAGTTAGCTACACAGATGCTGCAACGGTCGTAAGTGTGAGAAAACGGTTTTAAATCACTTTTTTCAGTGCTTTTGTAAGTTTGAACTGTCACTGAATGAACTCTTACCTGTAGTGAGAAAACCAAAGAGATTTTGTCAGATTTGCGAGGTAGTCCAAACAGGAAATATTTGTGGAGTGTATTTACAACTGCTGCAGCACCCCTGTGATGGAATATACTGTGGCCCAGATTCCCAAAAGGGAGGGGCTGCATTCCGGAGGAGCAAGAAGGCAACTCAATTCAGATAGTTTCTGTGAGTGAAAGAGGGTGAAGATGGCTCCTCCCTAATAATTCCCAAAGTTTATAGGTAGCATGCTTTAGTGTGACAAGAGTCTTATAAAATAGATAGGCAATAGACAGGTAGATAATTGAGAAAGATAACAGATAGTTGAGAGAGAGAGAGAGAGAGAGAGAGAGAGAGAGAGAAAGAGAGGGAGAAAGAGAGAGAGAGAGAGAGAGAGAGAGAGAGAG